TGCTTGGCGCCTCATGTACTTGTATTCACCACATTTTTTAAGAAGTAAACAAGAAAATCATAATTGTAAAGCTTTCGTAATAAAATCAGATATTACTGATCACTATAATACAGTATCAACTCTACTTCTCAACCTTGAAGATTTTGTAATAAAGCGAAGTATAAAGAATATATTGACTATGATAAATTAATAATAGACTTATGTAATATAAGAAATGTTCACTCAGCAACTAAATATCTGACTACAACAATCACTAAAAGTATATCACAAAATACCAAGAAAATTAAAATAAATCGTAAAGTCAGTCCAACAAAAAAGTTGGTAACTGCTGGACTACTAAATCTATCAATGAAAAAAACGTGAAATATAAATTCAGGTATATAGGACAAATCCAACAGACGAAACAAAACAAAATTATTTGTACTATAAAACTAAACTCTGACAATTGATCAACATTTCGAAACAAAAATGTTACACAGAAAAACTACAAAACAACAAATCTGACACTAAAATGCTATGGAATACCATAAATCAAATCTGTAATTCATTCACACCTGAAACAAAAATTGAAGAAATAAACGTCCATAGTACAACACGTAACACGAGTAAAGATATTGCTGATGCATTCAATAATTACTTTATAGAAGTAGGGAGAAAATTAGCAATGAAAACAAATAAACCTAACATAAATATTCTGCCTAGAAAATCGATGTTCTTAGAATCTGTGTCTGAAAATGAAATAAAAAATGCCATACACAGTTTGCGAAATAAAAAAAGCCCAGGCCTTGATGGTTTACGATCAGAAATTTTAAAGAAAATTTCATCCGAAATCAGTAATCCCTTGACGTACATAGCGAACTTGATAATTGAATCGAGAGAATTTCTAGATGGTTATAAAATATGATTAGTAAAACCCATCCACAAAACCAGATACTAACAATTACAGGCCTATAACTCAAATATCCAGCGTTGCAAAAATTATTGAGAAAATTATAAAACACGACTTCTAAATTTTTTTGATAAACATTTTAATGAAAAACAATTTGGATTCCAGAAAAGCAAGTCTACCCAAGACGTAATTTCTTTTTTGACATCAAAATTATACAAATTACTGGACCAAAGTGAATATACCCGGTGTGTGTTTTTAGATCTAGCAAAAGCATTTGACACAGTACACCACTTGCTACTATTAGAAATCTTACACGACTCAGGAATTAGAGACAAGGCTTATAACCTCACGAAAAGTTACCTTTCCAACAGAACACAGTGTGTACAAATCAATAATTCTTTAAGCACAAACAAATTGATAACGTATGGTGTCCCACAAGGGACAGTGTTAGGCCCCTTATTATTTACACTTTACATTAATAGCCTGCTTAAAATCTGAAGGGACAATCATATGTTTGGCAGGCGATACTGCTATCATTTATTCGGATAACAACTCGTGGGATGATCTAAAAGTGAAGGTGAAGGACTTATAGGAACAATAATTGCAGACTGGTTCAGTCATAAATACCTAACTATTAACTTTCAAAAGACTATGTTCATGCCATTCACAAATCACAGTAACAAATTACCATCTTTTGTATCTTTACAGATTAACTGTGATAATATAAATACTCAAATAAGTTTAACAAACAAAATAAAATATTTAGATGTATATTTACACATTTAAAGAGGAATATACATATTGATCATGTAATAACCAAGTATCTAAACAAATATTTGGATAAAAAAACAATGAAAACCTTATAATGGGTGATTCAAATTGAGTTTCCACATTACAAGTATTTTTTTTTGAAACGCCACTGAATTTGTCAACGACAACGTGCCTTTCTAACGTCAAAATATAAACAAAACAGTGATGGAGCAATACGTGTGAGAGGACAGTTTGGAATTTGGTGCAAAAATTCGAGCAAACTGGATCCGTCGCTAACACGAAAGCCACTAGTCGTGCTCGTAGAGGTCGGTCGGAACACAATATTGCTATTGTTGTCGAAAGTGTGGCTTAAAATCCAAGAACCTCGATTCGTCATCGATAGCAGCAACTGGACCTTACTTATTCCACTATACAGCGGACTTTAACAAAAGATTTGAAGTTACACCCATACAGAGTCCAAATAACACACTAATTGAAGCCTAGGTCACACATCAGGAGAAACGATACAATTACTGCGCGGCAAGTTTCCAGGTCGCGTTATTTCACGTAACGGCGATATCAATTGGCCGCCGCGATCCTGTGATTTAACTACTTTAGATTATTTTCTTTGAGGGTATTTCAAGAGCAAAGTCCACAAGAATAACCCGAACACAATTGCGGGGCTGAAACAGGAGATCAGACGCGAAATTACCAACATAGGACCTGATTTGTGCCACGGAGTAGTCGAAAATTTCTCGAAACGGATTACGTCATGCCACGTGAGCCGCGGCGGTCATTAACTTGATATCATATTTCAAGCATAATTGTAATGAACTGCCCTGAAAGGACAAATACATACTTTTTTATAATGTTCAATTTCTTCTTTTTTTTAAATACTTTTATTGTGGAAACCCAATTTGAATCACCCTATATAATGGCTATGATCGAAAGTCGTATAAGTTACGCAATATTAGGTTGGGTTGGAGCACTTAATAACCAAATTAATAAATTAGAAATTATCCAAAAACAATTTTTAAAAATAATCTTCGACAAGCCACTTTTATACCCATCTGATCTGTTGTTTTCTGAAACAAAACAATTAGACCCAAGGTAATAATTTTTTTATAAAATTAAAAATTATCAATTTCACCATAAAAAATAATCTTATTCCGTTAGATCACTTATATCAAACTAGAAATAAAATCAACAACATTAAGCAAACACCTTTAAGCTCAAAAATTATAGGCCAAAGATGTCATACTTACCTTTCCAGCAGATTATATAACATATTACCAAATTATATAAGAAATATTTCAAATAAAACAAAATTCAAAATTGAAACCAAAAAATTTATAAATGAAAAAAATCGACATCAAATTGCAAACATGAGACGTATATGTATATATGTATTTGTATGTGTATATATATATACATATATATATATATATATTTATGTGTTCATTTATATGAATGTATGTATATATATATATATATATATATGTATATATGTATATATGTGTATATTTATGTAAAATATAAGTTAATACCCACGCACAAGAATTTATTCTTCTGTGGATAAGTTCAGTTTATTTACGTATACCTATGTTAGTTTTTTAGACAGTGAAAATGCTTAGAGATGCAAAATTTGTTTTTCTAAATATCTGCATGTTATCTAATTGTTGTAGTTTTTTAAAAGGATGTAATTGTTGCAATCATGCTTAATGAATCTTAAACAATGTTCTTCAAGTCAGGCCTATTCTCACGAATTTTGGGATCTAGTTGATCAAGAAGGTTGAAATAGTAGTCGTCCGTAATTTTTCTGCCCTTAAGATACAGATTATCAATTAACAGAATCCCTTTCGCACCTCAAAATACACTGACCATGTCCATTCCGGCAGATACTATCGCCTTTTCTTATTTGGGGATGAACCACCGACTGCCAACCGACTGTTGCTTTGTTTCTGGTACTCAGTGATTGATATGATAACGAATCGCCAAATAAAATCGGCCGGATCCCTATTGAAGTGGCTCAAACATTTCTGCGAAAATTGTTTGCGCACCCGTTTTGATCGGCATTCAGAAATTGCAACACCCACCCTTGCGTAGAACCATCTCTTTGTGCACGATGTTCCGCATCTTACACAAAGGCATTTAGGGCGACAAGCCGATCTCTGCCGTTGAGCTGGAAATGAGAAGACTAGCAGCGAATTCCTCTCTGACGAGAGACCTGGAGGTTCTCACTGCATGGGGACGCAATAATCGTCTACATTTCAATGCTTTCAATACACAAACGACCAAAAAGCGTCCTAGTGCTCATCTGGTTTAAACGGATGGTCGAGCTGCCCTAAAGATCCATCCATTTCTGTCCAATTCGTGCCAGATCACCAAAGTCTTGATCTGGCACGAACACATCTCGTCGATAGCGGCAGCTGCTGGAAAAAGCTAGACTATTTGTTTAGGGCTAAGAAGTACTTTTTCCTCAAGACCTCCTCACTCTATACAAGGCCCAGATACGACCTAACCTCGAGTATTGCTCACACCTTTGATGTGTCTGCCAGACAGACCCGCCTGACGTCTGTCTCCCGTCCTAACAGTGTCGAACATAGTGGATCCAGAACTGGCCGATATGATCGCCCCTTTGTTCTTACGGTGACGAGATTGTGTAACGATCTACAAGAGGAGGCTTTTCCCAATTCTACTAACCTTAGACAGTTCAAAAACCGGATTAACAAAGTTTCCTTGGTATCCTCGCAGCAGCTGCGGTGCCCTAGCATTTAAGCTTCTGCCTGCTGCTTCGGTGTAAAAAATCGTTTCTTCTGGTAACCCCAAGGCCTCAGCTATCTTACTCATCTTCGCAAGTCTATCGTCCGATACGATATCAGAGACATTTTTGATGGTTCAAGTGTGGTTGTGGTTTTTGGCGGTCCTTCACGTGTGATTTCTTCAAGAGACATGCAACAACGTGTACGCTCAGCTGCGTACTTTTGTACAATTGACATCAAAGTAACAGAGTCTCATATAGTAAACTATGGTTTACTTCGAAAAAAAAAATTCTAGTGGTTAATGCATCAAAGACGGAGAATTTGATGATAACACGGTTTTCAAATTTATCTTAATGAAAACTACGCAAACTTCAAAAATTAGGGTAGACGAACTACTTGAAGGAACAAGTTGAATCTTATCATAAGCTTATTCTCATACTAGGGACTTATACTCTGATACAGTGGTTAAGACCCTATGCATCGTTGGTTTGACAACAAACAAGGACTTGCCACGAATACTAAACCAAAAAGCTATAATATTTTTTGCAGTATTTCTTATGAATATTGTCATGCATTTCTAAGTAGGTGTTTGATGTTACCTTGTACAGCATGTTGATGAAGAATAGTCAATGCCGGTCCTGGAAGGTCACCACCCCACGTCCAGGACTCACGACCCCAGTTTTTTAGCTCATGGTCAATAAATGCTGCATACAGATTTTCATGTTGTGTCAGTTCAGTCCAGTTATCATCGTCAGTAGCTCCTCGATTCTCTCTTGTAGATAGCCACATTTTCAATCGGATTCGGCCCTGTACAGAACTTCTCTGTGATCGAGCTTCCAATTTGAACCAACCCTCCAAGCCCGTTGATGGAATATCCTGGAAAACGGACTTGTAAAGGGTTTTTTGCAATGCAAATAAAACATTTTAACTAAATCTGAAGTGAGACATTGTTGAAATAAGACAGCACACCACTTTGTGCTGTCTTATTTCGTTAGACTTCATACTGTGAATAGAAGAGTTGCTCAGCTTTCGTTCGTGGTCCAAGGAGACTAAGCCTACATCGCGCTGAAGAGTTGCGAACCGGATGGAAGCTATGTTACTAGTTTATTCAGTAATATAGGACCAGAATCGGCGGCATCTAACGGTCACAGTGGTGACCCGGCTGAGTACGATCAGTATCGACAGATAGCTTTCTGTTTTCAATTTCGCAGTGGTCGTTTCTGTTAATAGCTGACACTGCGTGCTATTTATTCAGATTGACCTTATACTCTGGATAGAGTTGCTCGTTTTTCGTTCGTTGTCGATCGAGACAAAGCCTATACCAACTTGAAGAGTTACCAAATAGCATGATAAGCCAAAAATGGATAGTCAGAAATACTCATGAGCATTAAACTAAGATAAGGTGGGTAAATTATATGCTGAAAAATGTGCTTCTTTGTGTAAGATCTTAGCATGATCCCAAAGTATTACGTGGTGCTTTGTGTAAGCGTGACCTGCTATCCCAGATTTATTTGTTTCTCCCCGTTTCAAGGTGGGTGTGTGCTCGTTTATTCTTACTGAGAGTGGACTTTTTGTTTCTACTATTTCTACTCTCTACGCATTCACATGGCACCTGGAATAATAGAATCCTTGGTGTTCCGGTTTTTGTTTATAGGTTTTGCCCTTGTGAGGATACTACGAATTGTGGAGCTCCTTAAAAATCTAGGTTCAATTTGATATGATCTTCCTATCCTTCTGATTGCATCACTTATTTCCTCAACATAGTGTATGCTGGGGTTCATTCCTCGTGTTTCTACTGTTGCTCATTTATCAGTCGTCTTGGGTAGCCATTTCTTATTAGATCTTCTTTGATGCGGTTGATTTCTTCCTAGAGGTTTGCTTGTGTGTTGCAAATGCAATTTTCCCGGACGATGAAGGTTCTAGCTACGCTTTTCTTAGTAGTAGCTGGATAGCTGGAACAGAAAATCAGGTATTGTAAGTCTTAGTTTTCTGTATACAGTTGCTATTCTCGAATTGTTCTTTGTTGCCACACCATCCAAGGATGAGAGGCTGTTGTTGTTTTCTTCTTTTTTTGTAAGCTTTATCGAGGGTCTTAAATTGTTTAGGTGTTCGAATGTTTATCTTCTCCATGATTCCAGATTATCCATATATGGAAGCCAAATCTTCGGCTTGACATCGAAGGTTCTAATGGCGATTCACTTAAGTCACTTCATGTGTAAATTTGGCCGCTACTGGTGGAAGCGGTGACCCATTGACAGACCAGATGTGAAATCCTTCTTCCACTTGAAAGTAGTCGTTTCTTAGACAGAACGTGAGTAGTTCTATTGTCCTTTCCTCCGGTAGACTTATCTTCTCTTTCAATTCCCTGTCTTCTCTAAGCTTCGTCTGGATTATATGTAGAGGTTCTTCGACCAGGACGTAGGCGTACCCGTTCCTGTTCTTGCTAATATGTCTGAAGGTAGGTTATTCCTTTACATTCTATTTTCAACAGATGTGGTTTTTATACTAAGTATTTACAAAAAATTTACAGTATCTTGTAGAAGCAAATTTAGCTAATATATCCTGATATATTATTTCTGTCACACATTCACACATCAATCCTTTTTACAAAATGACAAAAATCTAGGTGTGTAAAATTTGCTATCAGAATAACGCGAGAAGGTAGGGAAAACTCACAATACTTCTACTACTAAAAATTACACCTTCATCGTAATATGTGGTCCTAACGCACAATTCTGGTTGAATATCATGCATTCACACATCTAGCTAGATTTCAGCTGCTCCTAATATTACAAATTACAGTCGCGAACAGCTCTCGTCATTCTGCGATCATGATACACGATCATCAATGGCTGAATATTACACATTTTAGCAAAATGAGATAAATCTAACTGGCTGAAATTTGCTGACGGGATAACAGATACAAAACATGATGGCACAAATGAATTTTTTGGATACCTGTATTATATTATTCATGATTTTAAAAATTGCAACATGCTGATTACACATTCAAAAAACATTTACATTACATTTTTTATTCATTTGAGTTCTTGGACTTTTCTGATTTGATACATAGTATCATCAAGATCATATTCTATTTTTAGATTCTCATTTTTGTATCATCAGTCATCTCGACGTCGTGTTTGTAGTCCTGGACGCAAGACGATGTTTTTCCGTCCAGTGGTTGCATTATGGTCAATAGATATTAGGCCAAGCTGTACGTCGCGTCGGGGATCCTGTTGAGCAGCGTGGTGTCATTAAGTATTATTCGTACTTTTTTAACTTTTGATAGAGTTGTCGTTGTTAAAGCCGACACGCCGTAAATAAAAAAAACCTTATAGACAATGGAAGTCCGAGAAATAACTTCTAAATCGTCCACATTGTCATCAAATTTCAAACGACAAGTATAAAGTTTGTATCGATATATTTTTAAAGGATAATGAATTAATTTTTTTGAAACATTATATATAAATTCTGATGATCTCAAAGATTCAATGAGACCTAAAAGCTCTTACTTGTAGAGGAATTGTGACGCATCCTAAAAAATCATCTTGAGAACTCTGTCTAGCCGATTGACAAACTTGTTTGAAAAATCTTCCTAGTCCTCTAACGCCCCGAACTTCGTTCAACTTGCTGACAGCCTCCAAAACAGAGCTTTCGTCGTCATGGTCCCAGATATCAAGATGGAGCGAGTCGCTGTTGATATCGTCAATATCGCTGAAAAAAAGTCGTTTTCCATTATTCGAGGACAAATTTTAGCATTTTTTTATTTCACGAAAAACTGTTCTATTATACTAAATTTAAAAAGTGTTATAGTTTTTTAGTACCTTCATTAGTTTTCCTAAACTCATCACTACTCTAATAGATCACTAACTTTCGAAATAGCAAAAAACATACCGTGAATGTTCTGCATTGTGCGACAAATTACTTGATTCTCTCTATTTTAAATATACCTAACACTGAATATTGAAGTCTAATTCTATTGTGACTGTCAGGAACTTTCAAAATATCAGTTTTCTTTTATAGACCCCAGTCATCTTGTCACCGTCCTGGGTGGTCATAGTTTTGAGTTTAAGAATACATCTTACAGAATGTTGTAAGGAAAACTGAAGGGCCAGACCCAGCATTTTGAAATACAAAAAAGTTCTTATAAAGCCGCGATGATAGCAATTGATCAACATAGTTGCTACTTGTATAGTAATTACGACATATAGTATAGAACTTACAGGTTGGGGCATACCCGCTATTATTGACCTTCACTAGCGCCATCTCTGAAGCAGAGATCGAACCAGAGACACAGCACATATCTCAAGTATCTTGACGTATAGACAACACGCACCGCTACTATAAATGTACATAAAGTGAATGATAGATGATTCTTAACTGACAATTCAAGTCATCAGATCGCTATTGGTATGTCATTTTGCGGTTTTCGTGTTAAGCGTGCTGTTTTCATAAAACTTATCCATTTTTGATGGTTCTTCATACACGTCTCGATAATAGATGGCATTCATATCATTCTTTGTTAGTCCCTATGTTTGGCGAGAAACATTAAGATACCTTTTGCAAAAAATTAGTATCGGTATCTCCCCAGATTGATTCTATCTAATAACATCTATTTGATGTTTTTTTAGGTCTAGAAAAAGGCAAAAAATAATTTTTTCACAAAAAAAAAGGATATCCACATAAAGTTATGAGTTAAAGAATGGATCAAAATATGCAACGATGTTAAAAACAGTAGTACAATGGATGCATGTACGTAAAAAAACTTTAAAAGATCCAATGTTACTATTTTTTCTGGAGTTGCATACTACTGTTTTCAACATCATTGTATGTTTTGATCTATATTTTAACTTATTACTATATTTGGATATTTTCTTATTTTTAAACAGTTATTTTTTGAATTTTCAAGTTAGCACCTTGAGTATTGTATACCAAAATCAGAGGATTAAAACTACTTGCGTGTTTCCCGTTCCTGTTGAATGTCCTTACATTTTCCTGACATCATTCTGCAACACCTTGTAGTTTGTTAAATTTAAGCCCGTTAACATTATCACGGTCATTTTGGTTTACGTTAGTCTCGAACTAAATATAATAAAGTCCAGATAATGTAATCCGGCGCCATGATACTACACTTACCAAAAAATATCCTCTGCTCTATACTAGATGTCCCAAAATCCTGGAAGAATTAATGAAATTACAAAAATACACCGTACAACCTCAAAGCGTTTGTAGCTGGAGCGTATATTTTGTATTTGTTTTGGATTTTGAGGTGTTGTATATTTTTGTAACAAACAGTAATTTCTCCAAAGTTTTTGGGATGCCTCGTAACTTTGAGTCGGTGATCTGACATGATGAGAGGTGTTGATGAAAAAGGTTTATGTTATTGAGGTAACGATGTCCATGAAGAGGATGTCATGTGTTTAAAAATAGCTGAGCTACTATAATCAGTATTTTGCTAAGCACAAGATGTTTTAGTTTTTAAGCTATTGCAATTATTACCTGCATCTTAATTCGAAGCTATTGAAATGATCACTTATATTCATTAAAGGTACGCGCCCACAGACCCCATCGTACGCAGCAGACCGTTCAGCCACCCAAATTAATGTCTGGCACTGCATCTGCAGTAATCGAATTGTCGACATGGTGACCATTTGTACTCGGATTCTGTTGTGTTGATGGAAGACACGGCATACATTTTGTGATTTGAAAAAATGCGTCAGGTAGATTGACTCTGCTCTTTTAAAACGTCGTCATCAGTTCATCAAGGGTTATGTTAAGAACATGTAAAACCCCCCGAAAAAAAAGGTAGTTACTAACATGTATAATAGAGGAATTTAACAGATCAAGTCAGTCAAGCAGGCCCACATAATTGGTGCATAGACATTCTTTGCCTGCCCTACCGGTAGTTGGCAATGCTGGTTCTCATCGATACCTGACAGCACAATGAGTCAGCGGTACCGCGGCAGTAAGGCCAGAGCACTTACCAAGGCCGGCACGCTCGCCAATGATCCCAGACGCGCGTCGAAGAATTTCTCTGTTATTCCAAGTTTTAAGGGCAAGGGTACGTGGAAATCTACTATCTGATGTGTACAATATGGTTGATGGGTTGCGTAGAATTACCGAGGCTACGAGCATCTGGTACACTAATATCAAAACAATTGAGCTATACCCTCAAACATCAAAGAACGAAGTCTGAGTGATGCTTTTTTTTCGTTTTTGGCTTGTTTCTCCGCCACCACTGGAACGATTTTCAAAAACTACAAGGTTTTTTCGTCCTTGGCATAAAGGTAACCCTGAGTTAAAATTTTATCAAAACCTGACAGGTACTTTCCAAGATATAGACGGCTTAAGCATTAACAGGCAAGCAGACCGATATACAGACACTGACGGACACTAGTGACATTTTTTTGTGTTGTACATGTCATATAACATCCAAAAACATAATATCCCATTTACCAAATGTTTCGCGATTACAATGCTTCCTTGGCAGTAGCTGTGGGAAGTAAAAGCGATATCTTGTTTTTCGGAATAAATTCCATCATATGGCATACGCTCCACAACCAAAATGAATTAACTGCCGCCATTTCGAGTTCAATATGGTGGATGCTACAAAATAGCGTAACCAATATGATATGGATATCAAAATACACGGCTTGATGAGAGAAAGGCAATAAGCAACGTGACGCCATTATAAATTCAATAACAGCAGAATGTTTATTCTTACTATTTGGGTTAACCAGAGACGGTACTTTATAAACATGTAGCTAGCTGTATTGTTGTCATAGGACAAAATGTATTCCGCGTCTTACGTAATAATATACCAAAGGTACAAAAATCCGAACAGTCCAATGCGCGCAATGTGAACCTGTGAATGTACACCATAATGTAATACAAGCACATCTTACACTTTATGAGTTCATCTTATTATATCAGGGGTCACTGCCACTATAACGTAACTATGTGAACATAAAAAGAAAAAATAGACAAATTAGAATAAAACAGCTATTAAAATATGGACTTTGACATCAATCAATACTTCATGTACCGTGTCGTTTGAACTACGCACGCTATCGAAGTCACAAATTACATATGAAAGCTCAATACAATACAAACACATACCGTAAAAAATGTATCAATCTGTAAAGCATATCTAACTCGGTTATATTTTGTTTCGGTTTATTTAAAATAATTTTCTTTTTCTTTCAAGGACGCTGATTGTAGCTTTGGCATCCTCTCAAAAATCAAACAATCAGTAATGGAAAATTCCAAAATATATGAAAAACCTGAATTATACAGGGTGTTACCTAATCATAAGCCGTAATTGAAGAGTGCGTTCCTGAAGCAGAAAATTTCATATAAACATGTGTACTAAAAATTATAGCTTTCAAGTCACATGGTGTCGAAAATTCTTTTGTCGGTTATGTTGAATTTTGGCAGTATTGCAGTAAGATGCTACGATGTCTGTAAATCAAGTGACGCGACAATGTAACGTTTGATCTGAAAAAACTAGAGGCGCTGGGTTTGCAGGAAACATAGGGGAACATGTGATTCGCCTTCAATACAAGTTTAAACACGCCCGAGTTATTTGGTTGTCCGTAGCGATTTTTTTTTTGTGAAACAGTTTTTTCTATTATGTCCTAAAAATGAGTCACACCAATTTCGAGCAAGCAGCTATCAAGTTTTGCACAGATTGTGTTTTGTCAAAACCCCAGGTGTTTCAGGGGGTTAACGTTGCAGAAGGGAGAGACTCGATCGAAGGTGAACCATGAAGCGGAAGGCCTTCAACTTCAAGAACCGATGAAAATATCGAAAGAATCCGGAATCTTGTGCGTTCAGATCGTCGGTCGCCAATGGTCGAAGAAGAGCTAAATTTGACTCATACAACCGTTGCATCACGATAATGCTCCTTGTTACACAGCAATGTCAATAACTGTGACTCCTCATTCGCCTGACTAGAGTCCTTGTGACATTTTTCTCTTCCCGAAATTGAAAAATCACCTCAAGGGTGGTGGGACAGTCGAAAACAACTGGCCGAAACAGACCTCCCGCGCTGTGTGCCTTCAGAGGGTGACAATCACTTAATTTACACACCACTTATGTTAGCACTAAATAGGAGATAATTATAAATTCCAGTGGTGCCCTTGTAGTTACGGCTCATGATTGAGTAACAGTCTGTGTAGCCTTCAGGTTGGCACTGAAAGTACTCGAACCCGGAAAATAATTAAATGTATCAGGAAAGTGAAAATGTTTAATACTTGTCTAAAACCACTTCTACAATAACAATAGTAGGTTGCATAATGGTCGAATATTACTCCTTCAAAAAGTGTATTTCTATGTCTTTGGGCATTAAACTATTATCCAATGTCAGTGATTACTATGACTAAAGAAATTGCTACTATGGTTAGTATATCGTGTTCCTTCTAACCTATATACTTGGTGTTGCTAGCTGTCAATGAGAATATGTAATGAAATACATACACTTGATTTTAACTTTATGGTTCATTTTCATCCAGCTGAAATTAACAAATCCGCTAGAATTGAAACAGCACATGTTTGAATGAAGATTGTGCGATGTGTGAGAATTAATTGTAATATACTCAACATTTGAAAAAATATACAGCAATTAAAAGTTTTCCCTGTTCACTGCATATATTCGTATTTTTATGATAATCCAATAAATTCTTATTTATCGATGGGAATTTTTACCTCACGAA